AAGGACTTCATGACCAAAACACCAAAAGCATTGGCAACAAAAGCCAAAATAGACAAATGGGACCTAATCAAACTCCACAGCTTCTGCACGGCACATGAAACAGTCTTTAGAGTGAATCGGCAACCAACAAAATGCAGTCCACCCATCTGACAAAAGGCTGATATCCAGAATTTACAAAGAACTAAAACAGACTTACAAGAAAAAAACAAACAAGCCCATTCAAAAGTGGGCAAAGGATATGAACAGACACTTTACAAAAGAAGACATACATGAGGCCAACAAACATATGAAAAAATGCTCATCATCACTGGTCACTAGAGAAATGCAAATCAAAACTACATTGAGATACTATCTCACGCCAGTTAGAATGGTGATCATTAAAAAATCTGGGCCGGGCGCGGTGGCTCAAGCCTGTAATCCCAGCACTTTGGGAGGCCGAGGCGGGTGGATCACGAGGTCGAGAGATCGAGACCATCCTGGTCATCATGGTGAAACCCTGTCTCTACTAAAAATACAAAAGCTGAGGCAGGAGAATTGCCTGAACCCAGGAGGCAGAGGTTGCGGTGAGCCGAGATCGCGCCATTGCACTCCAGCCTGGGTAACAAGAGTGAAACTCCGTCTCAAAAAAAAAAAAAAAAAAAAAAAAAAAAAAAAAAAAAATCTGGAGACAACAGATGCCGTAGAGGATGTGGAACACTTTTACACTGTTGGTGGGAGTGTAAATTAGTTCAACCATTGTGGAAGACAGTGAGGCAATTCCTCAAGGACCTAGAAATAGAAATTCCATTTGACCCAGCAATCCCATTACTGGGTATATATCCAAAGGATTATAAATCATTCTACTATAAGGACACGTGCACACGAATGTTCATTGCAGCACAGTATACAATAGCAAAGACCTGGAACCAACCCAAATGCCCATCGATGATAGACTGGACAGGGAAAATGTGGCACATATACACCATGGAATATTATGCAGCCATCAAAAACGATGAGTTTGTGTCCCTTGTAGGGATATGGATGAACCTGGAAACCATCATTCTCAGCAAACTGACACAAGAGCAGAAAATCAAACACTGCACGTTCTCACTCATAGGTGGGTGTTGAACAATGAGAACACATGGACACAGGGAGGGGAGCATTACATGTTGGGGTCTGTTGGGGGGAAATAGGGGAGGGACAGCAGGGTGTGGTGAGTTGGAGAGAGATAGCATGGGGAGAAATGCCAGATACAGGTGAAGGGGAGGAAGGCAGCAAATCACACTGCCACGTGTGTACCTATGCAACAATCTTACATGTTCTTCACATGTACCCCAAAACCTAAAATGCAATTAAAAAAAAAAAAGATCTCTTAGCGCAGGCACCATTCCTAGAATTTCCAGTACACCAGCACCAGCCTGGAGACCACTCTACCTCGTGCTGCTAACCACTGAGACTGCTGTTTGCCCAACAAAAAAGGGATGGACATATCATGCCCTAGTGAAGAGAGCACCATCACCATCAGAATCATAGGCCATTGTTCCAGGATCAAGCCCTACCAAATTAAAGCTAAGAAAAGCTTAGCCTATCTATCTTTTCTTTTTCTTTTCTTCCCTTTACTCGTCATCTTATTATTAATGTAATTAGATCTAACTCACCTCAAGTTATTACTTTTGATGCCTGTTTAGTTATACCTTGTAGAGAGTTACATAATCAAAGACAGCTTGTTACTTCAGAAAAATATCTCTGTCCCTCTTGGATTTCCTCCGATTAAGAAGACATAATGAGTTCCTGTAAGGATACTAGTAATCCAAGGAATAGTAGCTGTATTAATTGGTAGGAATCAGACTCTTGTCCCTCTAAAACAGAATCTCTATGTTCTGCTTGGTCTAATATCCTATAGAATACTAAAAGTTTAAGATGGACTGCTTCTACAGGTCTTTGTCAGGCCTTAAAAACATATATCCATTTCACCAAAGGAATTACTCCTTCTAGCTGTCAATATAACCAATGTAATCCTATATAGCTTACTATTGTTATAGCAACATTGGAAAACTCTTCCCCTTCATTAAGTTGTATTTATAAGTACAGGAGCTAACATTTGAGGAAAGGATCCTAAAGGAATTTTTGAAATATGCTTTGTTGCTCCTTCAACCTCTTTATCAATCACTCCTCCCAGATACAGTGACAAAACTAAAGTCTCTGTAGTAGAAGTAAAAGACCTAAGGCAAACCATAGCAATTGAGACAGGGTATTGAGATGTAAATGCCTGGCTAGAATGGATTTGTTCCATCTTCACTCTAAATAAAAGCGACTGGTACACTTGTGCGCACAGCAGGCCAAGGCCTAGGTTGTACCCTCTCCACTTGGATAGTCTTCTATTCAGAACACAGACTGTATAGTATCTCTTTTCCAAAATCCCACAGCCTAGGACAGGCGTCCCCAAACTGCAGCCCCCTGAGGCCATTTATCCGGCCCCCTGCCGCACTTCAGGAAAGGGGCACCTCTTTCATTGGTGGTCAGTGAGAGGAGCACAGTATGTGGCGGCCCTCCAACGGTCTGAGGGACAGTGAACTGGCCCCCTGTGTAAAAAGTTTGGGGATGCCTGGCCTAGGCTAATGAACTGTGCCAAGCTCTTTTCTCTGTTACTTCCTGAAGTTCAACACCCTGCGGGTCAGCCCCCAAGGGCCATACAGCCTCCATCTTCCAAGGCAAAGTTTGCCTCATGTCTCTCATGACAGGGGGAGAACTTAGTGTTCCCTGGAAACTTATTAAGATACAGTGAAGTCAGGCACTTCCAAGAGATGACCTATCAGTCTGAGCAGATGTATAGCGGTGTTGTGGAAGACCTTTACTGGACATTCTGACAAATAACTCAAGTGGTACTTGTGTTCTAGTTCACTTGGCTAACCCTTTTACACTGGCATTTCATCAACCAGAAAAAGAAAAAGACATCGTAAAACAAGAGAAGTTTTCTCTTTTAGAGACTCAGTTAAAACGACTAAGCCAAAACATGTCAAAAAAGTTTGAAGAGAAAAATTATAAAGTAAAAGAGGAGGGAGTTTGGGAAGTAGTAAATTTCCTCTTCCAAGTTTCCTTTCTTGTTTAATAATAATAATAATCTTAGAAATAATAGTCTCTTTTAAAGACTTTCTTCAAAGGCTTCTTGCTAGTAGCTCTTTGTTATGTAGCTGTTAGACATGCTCACAGGCACATAGTACATTCTGTGTCCTTTAATCAAGATATCTGTGCTGGATGTGCTCACAGACACGTCCCAGCTCGTAGCTTATGCCCCTTTCTGATTTGGACTCCTTTTTGTTCTCCATTGCTTTTACCTATGCAAGAACATTTTAAGTTATTAGCCAATCAGTTATTAGCCAGATTGTGAGGTCTGGCTCCAGCCAACAAAGAGCAGCACAGCAGTAAGGATGACCCCAAATGGGCAAGATGGCTAATGGAAGCACCCTTTCTGCAGAAAGTAAAATTGCCTTTCTGAGAGCTCCTTTGTCTCAGTGTGCTGATTTTTCTTTGCAGCACTGAGCATCTGTTTCCAACAATGTGCATGTGCAGACTGCTTGGCATACCCACAGATGCACGCCTGAGCACATGGTCCACAGGGCAGGTCTAGGGTGGCAGGGGAGAGGCTTTGTTTCAGGCTCTAGCCTGAGCTGAGGTCCATTCCAGCCTTTACCAAGGTCTTGCCTTAGGGGCTGGAAGGTGCCTGCCTGCAAGGGCAGAGGTGGAACTTTCTTTCCCTTGCTTTTCAATCCTTGTCTGTCCTTGTGCTCAGGAGGGGAGAGTGGTTAGAGCCCCTGGGACCCATAATAAACATCAAGGTCCTTAAATATCAAAGATACAAGCTTACAAATACTGCAGGTCATTTCAAATTCATTTCTAGAAAAACAAATGTATAATTCAAAAAACATTTTTGAATGATACAAAAGATAAAAATTAAAGCTTGAAAATTTCAGATTAAAAAAGCTTATATTACAGAAGAAGCATAAGCAGTTCTATGTGTAACATCTCACTACCCGCTGCCTGCAGCTCAAGGCCTGGACTCTGCTCTGGGCTGGGAAAACAAGGCAGACCTTCAGGAGTCCTCAGCTCCTCCTCCAGCAAATCCACACAAGACAGCCTAGCGCCTTGGGCCTGAAGCAGGGGTTGGGACGAGACAGTCTAGAGCTGTGAGCCTGGAGCAGGGGTTTGGACAAGACAGCCCAGAGCTGTGGGCCCAAAGCAGGTATTGGGATGAGACAGCCCACAGTCGCGGGCCGGGAGCAGGGGTTCTCTCCACCCCTCACAGGCACCCTCAGGGGCATGGGGAAACTTAGCACCCCAGAGGGGCTACTGTGTTGGACCCCTTGATGCTGGTAAGAATTTCTAAGGCCTGTGGCTCAGGGAAGAAGCCCAAATTCACCAAACAGCACTGTGGCTGGGCTCAGCGGGGATGTCTGCCCCCAAAGGTTACGGGGGCCCAAGGATCTTTTCCGGGTGCCACTGAAGGGTTCCTAGGGGTGAGCACTCTGTCATGAAGTCTTCCAGCCTGCACCATTCTCAGCTTTCTCAGATCTGTCCTCAGCTATTTCTTCCCCCGCCACCCTCTTCACTCCCTCCTTACTCCACACTCGCTTCTTTCTGTTCCCTCCCTCCTCACTTGTTCCCCTCCTCCTGTCCTTACTTGCTCCCTGCACCCTCCCTCCTTACTTGTTTATTCCCCAACTCTTCCTCTCCTTCTCCCTCCGCCATCTTCTTTCCCCCTCTCCTCCTTCCTCACTTCTTTCTTCCTCTCTCTCCTTGCTCCTCCTCCCATTTCTCCCTTCGTCTCTTCTTCCGTCTTTGGTCTTTCTCTCTCCCCACCTCTTCACTGTTCTCTTCTTGCTGTCTTTTCCACCCAGACCCTAGGCTGAGTCTCCCCCACCCAGGAAGGGTAGGAAGCCCAGTTCGGTCCCATCTGGGCATCCCAGGGTTACTGGGCCGCCTATCCTGAAGCTACCCTTTGGAGGGAAACCCTTCTTTCCTTGAGTGTGGGAAGGCCTCAGCTGACTTAACTGGCCACAGAGGAAGCTCTGCACTGGGGGAACTGAGTTTCCAAGGACTTGACCTGGAACAAGTTTGTTGGCGGCCTCTGGCCCCACACAAGCCAGACTAAGCTGGGTCTGCCCTTCGTCAGAGTCTCACCCTGATGCTGGAGGCCTGCTGGTTTATTACAGAGGCTTGAAGGACAGGGTGGGAGACCAGGGAGTCAGGGCCAGGCTGGTAAGAAGCCCTAGCACCCTGGACTGGGGCCTGGCTCACTTGGCTGCCACCAGGACGGCTTTACTTCTTGGAGGCCTGCTTCTTCCAGCTGGTTGTCTTGCTGTCCCTCCTGAGTTTGTTGTGAGGCTGTAGTTCCACTTCAGGCTCTCTTGCTCTAAAGATCAAAATAGAGAAAGCAGCTGCTGAGGGGCAGGTAGGAGGGAAGGGCTGCTCTTCACAGTGCCCAGAGTCCAGGCCCGGTTGGGCCAGGACAGATAAGGCCCTCTCCCTTGCACAGGTGAGGCTATCTGAATGCTGCTCCAACCAGAGGGCCCCAGTGGCACCTGTGATCTTTCTACATGCTTCTAAATTTGCTTTTCTATCTTCATGAGAAATATGTGATTTCCATGTCATTCTGAATGCGTGATTCATTTCATGGTTATCACCAGCAGCAAATCAGTGGCTTTTTTTTTTTTTGAGACGGAGTTTCGCTCTTGTTACCCAGGCTGGAGTGCAATGGCGTGATCTCGGCTCACCGCAACCTCCGCCTCCTGGGTTCAGGCAATTCTCCTGCCTCAGCCTCCTGAGTAGCTGGGATTACAGGCACGCGCCACCATGCCCAGCTAATTTTTTTTTTGTATTTTTAGTAGAGACGGGGTTTCACCATGTTGACCAGGATGGTCTCGATCTCTTGACCTCGTGATCCACCCGCCTCAGCCTCCCAAAGTGCTGGGATTACAGGCTTGAGCCACCGTGCCCGGCCATCAGTGGCTTTTAACAGGTGCAGCAAGTTTCTTATAAGGAGACAAGAGGGGCAGTCTCCACTCTTCTCAGACTGATGGGTCTGGGCTGTGGGGTTCTGCTGCAAAGTCTACAAAAGACCTCCATCTGCACCACCCAGACCAATGCAAGCAGCTCTAGGGCAGCCTGCATGCCTGCCCAACACTGTGCTGATTAAACGGGCTAGATGTCAGGGATGGCTGGAGATGACCTAGGCCTGGGGAGAAGTGACTCGCCCCAGGCCAAACAGCCCCGAGGTGGCCTGCTGTGAGCCACGCCCATTCTGACAGCTGGGGTGGCCACCTACTTCTTCTCAGCCTCCAGAGGTATCTCCTTCTCCACATAGTCTCCCAGGGCCAATGAGGAGGAGCTTCCTTGGTTATCTTCCAATTCGGCTTTCTTGGCTGATTCAGAATCCTCCAGGCTCAGGACAGAGTTTGGAACGCTGCAAGGGAGGTAGAGTAGGAGGGTAGTGCTCAGGGCCCAGGGCATGCTGCACACTGTCCCGTCAATGTTCCTGGAGCCTAGAGAGACAAGGGCACAAGTGCTTCTTCTCCTGAGGGTGGCAAAGAGAGAATCTGACCTCCATGGGGACCCAGTGACATGCCGCAGGTTGGCTTCCCTAGCTTCTGTTTTGGGCTAGATTGGCCCTAACCCACATGCTGCTCCACTCCCACCCACAATACTGACCATAGCAAATGCCTGCAGTGGGGCAGGAGGGCTCTGTCAGTGACCACAGAAGAGATGACAGGCGGCCAAGGAAACGTCATCACATGTGGTGTTGTGGGCTGAACACATCCCTCCAAAATACATATGTTGAAGTCCTAAACCCCGAGACCCCAGAACGTGGCCTTATTTGGAAACAGGGTCATTGCAGATGTCATTAGTTAAGATGAAGCCACAGTGGAAAAGGGTTGGTCCGATCCAACATGACTGGTGTCCCTCTACAAAGCGGAAATTTGGACACCCATGCATGCCGGGAGAATGCCACATGAGGATTGCAGCTCTGTGGCCATAAGCCAAGGAGCCACCAGGAGCCCCAGGGAGGGAGGCCTGGAATGGAGCCTCACTAGCAGCTTCTGGGAGAGCATGGCCCTGCCCACACGTTGGTCTCAAGCTTCTGGCAACCAGAACTGTGAGAAGATGAATTTCTGTTGTTTCAGCCACTCGGTTTGGGTCACCTTGTGTCTTAGGCTGTTCGAGCAGCTATTACAAAATACCGTAGGCTAGGTGGCTGTGAAACAACTGAGGTTCCTCTCTATTCTGAAGGCTGGAAGGCCCATTGTCAAGGAACTGGCAGATCTGGTGCCAGTTGAGGACCCACTGAGTCATAGATGGCTGTGTTCTCATTCTAACTTCACACAGAGAAAGGGGCAAGGGTCTTCCCGGGGCCTTTTATAAGGGTACTAATCCCATTCATGAGGGCTCTATCCCTCCACCTCCTAAACAATCACCTTGGAGGTGAGGATTTCAATACATGAACTTTGTGGAGACACAGACTTCAGACCACAGCCCCCTGTTACAGCGGCTCCAGCAAACACATACATGGCTACTCCTCACCTTTGTGCTACACCTCACAGCTCTGCAGCCGTTCACTGTCAGTGTTTCTGAGTTACAGGATGTTTGAGATTCACAGCAGCCCTGGGAAGCAGGCAGCTCTGGGACATTTGTCCCATTTTCCTGAAAGGCTCCTGAAGTCCAGAAAGGTGAGTAGGCTTGTTCACAGGCACACAGTAAATCAATGGCAGAGACAAGACTGGCCTATGCATGTACCATCTAGTCACTTGGTCGTATTTACTGAGCCTCTACTATGTGCCTGACCCTGAGGAGTTTGCAATCTGGTGGGAGGCATGGGTAGCAGCATCTGGTGCTGAAGGAGGGGGCATGGCTTGGGGAGGGGGCCTGAGGAGGCTCTGGAGGTATGTGGGTGAGTCTGGGGTGGGAACAGGAAGTGGGTATGGAGGGACTGTCTGGCAGGGGCCATCCACAAGGTTTAGAGCAAGAAACTGTGTATGGGCGAAGTCTCTTTTGTTTGTAAAGATCAAGCAAGGTAATAAAGGTGACTTGCTTAAGGCCAGGGCCTTTCAGAGACAAGAGGAGACAACAACAGCCTATCCCATCATTTCAAGGGCCCTAGAAAAACTAAACACAAAGAAATGCCAAGACAGGGCCTCAGAATCTGGGTGTATGCACGATGATTACATTTGGCAAGTTAACGCCTCTTTCTAGCTCCTCACCTCCAACCCCGCTTCCCAGGGAGCACACACACAAAACCAAAGGCCTCACTTGGAGGCCTGCCTGAGGCTCTTTGAGAAGGGGGACTGTAGAGGTGTTCTGGGCCCATGGTGCTAGTGTCCAGTCTCTGCCGTTCTCAGAGGGTGGGTGGGGGGCAGGAGGTTCAGGGTAGGCTGGTGGGCTCCTCCAGGTCTCCCCCAGAGCCCTAGCCCAGGGTGAATGGGAAGGAGGCCCCCGTAACTGTTTGGTGTTGGGTGCTTGGGGAGTGCAGGGGAAAAGGCTCAGAAAGAAGTATGGTCCCCCTCATCTGGACCTTTCTTTCTCTCTTTTCCCCCTTCGCTCGCTGGCGCGCACTCTCTCTCTCTCTCTGTCTCTCTCTCTCTCTCTCTCTCTCTCTCGCTCTCTCTCTCTCTCTCTCTCTCTCTCTCTTTCCCAGAGCATTTCTTGAGCACCTCCTCCCTGAGCTCAGCTCTAGGTCTAAATACCTAGAGTTCACAGCCAGCCCTGCAGTCCCCGCAGTCCAGAAACGTCCCCACCCTAGGCACTGGCCTCCTCCCTGTTCTCCCTGCCTGCAGCTTCACCCTCTCCTACCCAGTGCCATACCCTGCTCCCCACCAGAGGGCTGGTCCTCCTTGATCTGGCCTTGTGTCTCCCACTTAAAGCCAGTCTGTGGTTCCCTGATGCCTGCAAGGGTAAGCTCTAGCCGCCCGTCCCCCTGCCCGCTGGCATATCTGGCTCAGGGCCTGTCAGAATCTGACCCAAACTACGAGCATGTTTTTCTAACAGCCTGTCTCTGTAGCTCCCCTAAACCCACAGCCTTCGTGCTCACAGGTCCTCAAGCTGTACTGCGCCCTTGGCTGCCCTAGCCCCTCCCTGAGTGCCTTTACTTCTCCTTTGCTGGGCTTTCTTATCCTTCAAGGCCAGCATCCCAGGTCCCCTCCTCTGTGAAGCCCTCTGAGCTGTCACAGAAGGCCACATTTCCTCCACCATCATCTCTGCTTCTGTGCTTATTATGGTGCATTGCTCACAGCTCTGTGACTCTGCCCTGCAAGTGCCTCGGGAGGATTTGGTCTCAGCGCCTTGGGACCTCCTGTGTCTGGATCTTAGCAGGCATAGTGAGTGAACGAACCCATGAACCAAATGATGGGACATCAGAGGACCATGAGCAACTAGGCCAGCAGAGCCACACAGCTGTCCCCCTGGAGGGACAGGAACACTCCTGTCCCTGGTGACAGTGGGCCAGGTGCCTCTCTGGAAGACTTATCTAGAGGTTGGCTCTGAGACCATCCTTGCTCAGGGATAAGCAAGAAAGACCATCTGGGGCTTTGCAATAGGCCAGCCCTTCCAGGAATTTCAAAGCCTTTGTACTCGCCACAGTGAAAAGGAAAGTGTTGGCAAGAACAGGCCCTTATCAGGTGGGGAGCCCACCTCCCCACTGCGTTGTGGCTAGCCCACTGTTTCTGAGCCCCTGGTCCACTTCAGGAAGGTAACTTCTCTCTACTCAGTGCCCCTCAGGCCCCAGTCCAGAAGAGAAGTGGTTTTAACACCATTTTCATCCATCCTTATTGTCTGCTCCTGTGACAAGTTCATGATACCCTGCTTAGCCCCAACCCAGTGTCTGCCAGGTTCACAAGTCTAAAGCCCAACTCTGATCAAGCCTCTCTCAGCTCAAGGACTTACAAGAGCTCCCCATTGCCTCTAGGATCAAATCAGCAAAGCCCACGTCTGCATGCCCTTCCCCTACCTGTCCAAGAGGCTTCCTTGGGCTGAGAGGGGTGTGGGGTTGCTGGCATGAGCAGCTGATGAGGGTGGATTGCTGTTCCTCAGAGCAGCATTGCAGAGGGAGGACCTGGTGGTGGCTGGCTCCTCACTGAGCATGGGGCCTGCTCTCCACAGCTCCATCCTTGGAGGGGTTTTGGTGCCTGCGGTGTACGAGGGTATGGGCCCCCTGCACAGCTGATCCAACAAGATACCTGGTCTCCTCATGCTGTGCCCTCTCCACCCTCCTGCCTCCACCCAGCCTCTTCCTGCCTCTTCTGAGGTGGCCAAGGGGCAGGGGTGCTATCAAGTGGCACAGCTATGAAGAGCTTCCCCTCCCATCTGGATAGCATGTTACAGTATACAAAGCCTTTTGAGGCTCACACTGGTGTTTCTGTAGCACTCTGTCTTTATCCAGTTGGTAGCATGGTCTGCATTTCACAGAGCACTTGACAGTTTATATGGTGCTTTGTCCCTTCTAAAGTGTCTTATGGTTTACAAAGTGCTTTGCAGGGTAGGAGGCACATTAAAGTGTACAGGGCACTTTATGGGGCTTGTGGTAGCTTACCGAGTGCTCTACTGTTCTGGAGAGCAGGCTGTGAGGGCGCAGAGCAGTGTAGATGTTTTCCAGTTTACAGGGCCCACTGCCGCTCACAAAGCCCTTTGTGATGTTGAGGGCATGTGGCAATTTACATTTAAAAGGATTTTGTCTTTTACAGAATTCCTGACAGTTTGCAAAGGACCTGTGTACTGGGTGCACTAAAGTTTACACAGGGCACATGACAGTTTAAGGAGCACTTTGTCATCACAGGTGCAGTCATCTCTGACAGCCTCTGACCCTCTCAACTCACTCCTCTGAGAACGGTCCAGAAAAGACTATACCTCCATCCCACAGGCAGGGGACTGAGGCCCAGCAAGGGCAAGGCCAGGTTTGTGGCATCACCTGGGCACACTACCCCTCCAGGGCATCTCCTTACCCTGGCTGGGTCTTCACTTTTCCTTTTCTAATATGGGCGCTTAGGGCCTAGGGTCATCTTTTCTGCAGGAAGCTCACCCACCAGCCTCCCACATTGCCTAGCAGCTGGGCTCGGAGCCCAGGGCTTCACTCTGCTCTCCCTGTCACCCAATGCCAGGCCCACGGGCAGCACCACAAAGGGGCACTGCCAGGCACCTCTACCCCAGACACTTGTGAGGGCTCCAGGACACCAGGTCTGGCACATTCCCATCCTGGGGACCTAACTGGCTAGCAGGTGAGTCAGACAGTTGTCCAGTTAGCTCGTCCTGGGTAGATGGAGACCAGCCTTTCTGAGAGTCCTAGCAGGAGGGTGTGACAATGAAGGGACAAAGCAGAGGCTCCCGGCCCTCGCTAGTCTTGCGTGCTCCAGGACATCTTCCGCAATGAGTCAGAGCCATCGTCCTGACAAAGCTGCCCAGCCACACTCCTCAAAGCCTCCCACAGCTCTGGCCACACTCAGGAAGGAGACAGCCACCCTGGCTGGGGGTGAGGCTGCCTGCAACTGGCCTCCGGCTTCCCTGGCGCCCCGCCTCTTCACCTGACCACTCTCTGCATCCCGGGCTGCTGGCAGGGTCAGCTAAGAGGGCTGACTGCCCTCCCTGCCTAGTGGGCCCTTCCTGCCCATCACCACTGTCACAAGTCCAGTCCTGGTCTCTTGTGTACCTCATTCACACTGCTGTGTGAACGCAGCAGGGCAGCACCTCTGCTCGTGGGCATAGAGAGGGATCTGCAAATAGTGATTATTTTGTGACCCCCCCCCTTTCCCCCTGCCGGCTGCTCCTGAGGGTGATGAGGGAGGCAAGGGGAGACCAGTGACTGTCAATGTGCAGGTGGACATGGTGCAGACTCATGAGCTCTGTGTGTGTTCTGTGCTGTACTTCTTCGCCTGGCTGCTGCTGGCCACTCAAAAGCTTTCCCGGCAGCTGCAGCCTCCTGAGCCCTACCAGGCGTCAGAGCTCCCTTGGTTCCCTCCATCTGGTGTACTGGCAGCTGTGGGAGTGAGGATGAGCTCTTGGCCTCCCCATCCCTACTGTGCTGGTACCCAGAGGGGAAGAGACTGGCAAAGACAGGGGCCGAGCCAGATGTGGACCCAGCACCCCGGTCAGGGCTGCCCTGCGGAGGGGGTCACTATCTGCCACTTAAGAAAGGAAAAAAGGCACACGCTGGGTAGGAGACAGGGAGGCTCCAAGCTTCACACAGTTCTGGCCTCCGACAGGTCCTAGCCCCTAGCTGGGGACCCTTTCCTCCCCAGCACCCACTGCCCGGTTCCTTTGTGGGTTCCTTTGCCTGCTCCTGGCCCTTGCCTCTCCATGGTGGCTTCATAGGTGCCAGGCCCACACTGAAGACTGTCCCAGTGGCCAGCTCCTCCGAGGAAAGAGAAGGCTGAAGTGCCCCTGGCTCAGTGGCCACCCCAGCCTGACTGGACCCAGCTCCCAGCCCAGCCTCTCTGCATCAGATCTGCTTACTTACTGCTTTTCTTTCCACCTCCCAGCCTCCACAGAAGGATTTCCTGGATTACTCCCTCTACACTTATGCAAAGCCAAGCCCATTAAAAGTCTACTCTGGGTAAGGAAGATGTGATTCCCACCAAGCAACAGTGAGGGACTCCCTTTTCTGGCACTCTAGATGCAAAGCTGTTGGCCAACATTCCTCAGGAAACAGGACCCAGAAAGCAATGTCAGCCTCTGGCACTGCAGCTCCCTTGCTCTAGGCATGGATATTTCTGATTTCAGAGACTGTTTCCAGCGTAACAGTCCAACAGGCTAGACGTTCCATGGCCTCTGACCACCAGCCTTCCAAACCTAAAGGTGAACATTTATTCTTCCCCTCAAACCATCCCATAGCAGCTAAGCTTGCTGAGACCTTGATTCAGCCATGTCTTCTCCCTCAAGGGCACAACTGGTCAGCAAGCTTTCTATGTATTCAACCTGGTTGATATTTAGAAAATAAATGGACAGGCTGATCACAGAGGTCTGCTCCTCGGGCTGCTGCTAAACCTCACTCACTGCAGTGTGGCTGCAGAAGCTACTATCTGAATCACATGCATCCACCTTGCCCATGAGGACATTGTGAGATTTCGCTGAACATCTTCTGGAATCCAGATAATGTAGGTCAAAAGCATATCTTGCACTACTAAACTAGTCATCCTGCTGGAAGAGGAACTGGGGTGGATACTTTTCAAACATGTCCACAAATTCTTCAACACTCTTCCCACATCAAGAAGTAGTGTCTGATTTCCTTCCCTTGAATATGGGTGCAGTAGAATGTGTGATGCTGCATGACTTAGGATGCTACAGCACGAAAGGCAAGGCAGCTTCTCACTGGCCCTTTCCTGAGACTCTCCCTCTTGGAACTCAGCTTCCATGTTGAGAGGAAGCCCAGGCCCCTTGGAGAGGCTGTGTGTGAGTGGTCTGGCTGACAGCCCACACTGACCACCAGGCATGGGAGTGAGCAAGACTTGGGAGATGACTTAGCCCCAGACAACTTCTGACTGCAAATGTATGGCAGACCCCCTCATCTCCGCCAAACAAGAACCACTTAGCTGAGCCCAGTTGGCACCAGAACCATGACAGAATAATAATAATAATAAATGATTGTGTTGTTTTATACTGTAAAGCTTGGGTGGTTTGTTTCACAGATATTATAGGAACGATTGCTATGGCAACCCTTTCGATTAAAGATTCCATTTCCTTTTTTCACCTAAGTGTTCTTAAACCATCAACCTACTTGGCTATTCTAGGATTAGGAGAAGTCCTACTGGTTAATAGTTTCGTGAATCTGCCTCTTTCCATTTTCAAGAACCTAGACCATCTTGTGTGCATGTTACTAGTTTGTATGTGTGCATGTATGTTTGTATCTAGTTTGTGTGTGCTTGGCTTGTGTATATGTGCGTATAGTGTATATATATGTCTGTATGTCTAGTTTGTGTATGCTTCTGTACCTAGTTTGTGTGTTTGTACATCTAGTATGTGCATAAATTTGATGTGTGTACATGTGTGTCTAGTTTACATGTGTGTTTATAGTTTGTATGTACATAGTTTGTATATGTGTGTATCTAGTTTGTGTGTATGTGTGTGTGTCTAGTTTTCTGATTATTTTCCACCATTACTGGACAATTGTTGAAGACTGTTGTAAGCACACCACTAAGCCCTTTCAGAATCCTTGGATACAACAAATTGGGAGACGAGAGCTCATTTTTAATGATAATAATATCACTAACAAGGGTAGGTAGTAGTAGTCTCAGTAAATGTGAGTGATGTGCTGGCACTTCCCATGTGCTGACTCCTCTAATCCCTATAACCCAATACAGTGAGTCTCACTTTACAGACAAAGAAGCCAGTGCACAGAGTGGGTGAGTGTTTTGAACAGGTCACACAGCTATGAAAGGTGGCCGGACTCCTTAAGCTGTCCTTTCCTACTAAAGAGAATCTTCCTTTTGAGGACATCTAGAGCCAAATAAGAGCTATGTCTCTTCGCATCTACTTTCTGGCATTCCTCACTGTGATGGTCTGCATGTCTATGTTCCCCCAAACTGATATGCTGAAATCCTCATCACCAAGGTGATGGTGTTGGGAGGCAAGGCCTTTGGGAGGTGAGGCAGTCATGAGGGTGGGACCCTCATGAATGGGATTAGTGCCCTTATATAAGAGGCCCCAGAGAGACCCTCATCCTTCCTGCCACACGAGGACACAGCAAGAAGGTGCTGTCTATGAACCAGGAAGCAGCCTCACCAGACACCAAATCCATTGGTGTCTTGATGTTGAACTTACCAGCCTCCAGACAGGGGGAAATAAATGTTTAACAGGCTAAGACATTTGCTTGCTGTCCACCACAGCAGGCCAGCCTTCTGAATGTTTCTGAAAATGCCCTTGCTGGTCCTCTTGGCATTTCCAGGCAGCCTTAGTTCATCTTCGGCCTGGGCCCTTCCTGACGGTGTCCCTGCATCCTGTCCTGCCCTAGGGTTGTTGATGATTGGTCTTCAAGGACCAACAAGCCCTTTCCCTCTTTGAGTCTCAGGCAGTGGGATCTCAGCGACTTTTCTGTCTGTACCTTTCAGCATTTGCCCCTCCTACATCCACAGGTTCCTCCCGGGCCTGCCTTCCCCACTGAGTGCTCTGAGTTGCAGGGATCACTTGGTGTGACCTCCTCAGTTCCTCCAGGGGTGGGTTCCCCCACTCAGACAAGGCCCAGACTCAACTTGCTGCAGTGAGATGGGCGTAAGGACTTCTAGAAAACTGAAGGTCCTGTGTGTGAGTGGGGGTGGCCAGACTCGGTGCTGGGGGGTGTAATCACAGAACTTAAGGCAGCATACCCCAGGTCTCCATATAAATAACACTTTCCACTGCCCCATTATTTGCTTCACATTTCACAAAGCTCTTTAACACACTTTCATGAGATCCTCACAGCCTCTCAAGGTGGGCATTATTTCCTCATTCTGAAGGTGAAACAGAGGATTAGGGAGGTAAACTGATTTGCCACAGTCACCCAGCCAGTAAAGAGTGGAGCAGGGGTCCAACCTCATCCTGAGTCTCTCACTCCACTGTGCTGCCCAGGCATTCTCAGATCTGCTCAGGTTCCCCTCATGCGGTCTTCAGGTACTTCATGCAGCCCAGGCTCCTTCCTGGACTAGGCTGTATTCTTCTCGAGCCACTCAAAGCTAGGTCTCTCAACCTAAGAAGATCATCTTGCGAGAGCTGGGCTCAGGAGGTGCTCAACAAAGTGGTATCCCTAGTTGAAAAGTCCAAGCTCAGAAGCCCAGAGGCAGACTTAAGCCAGCACCTCCTGCTGCTACAGGGGCCTGGGATCACTTCATGAACAGACTTTGTCTATATAGGGAGGCTGAGGCAGGAGGATCACTTGAGCCCAGCCATTCAAGGATGCAGTGAGCTATGATCGTGTCACAGTACTCCAGCCTGTGCGACAGTGAGACCCTCTTTCAACAAGTAAGAAACCAAAGCAGTAGCGGGGCCCAACTTGCATATGAGGTGATGGTGGGGTGTGGCAGGACAGAGTTGTGGTGTAGCCAAGGCTCCTGCCCACCAATCCTCTGTCTTCATTATTCCAACAGAAACAGGCACTGTGCAAGCATTCCCATGCCCCTCTTTCCCCAAGATGGCCCGTTTTACACACTTGCGTCCCAAAGAAACCGATAACATGGCCTTGCTCACACATCCCCTCCCACCCTGGACCCCCTCCCATCCCTCCCCTGCCCACCTGCAAAGTCCTCCTGCCACAGTATTTTACCATGTGTGCCACGGGTGGCAGCCTCCCACCTCCAGACCCTCTCCCAACTCCATTCCTTTGGCCCCACCTGCTCCCATCAGTTCCCCTTTCACAGTCCAAGTCTCGTTTCTGCCTTCCATCCCTCCCCAGACCCACCCCTCATCCTGCATGCTTCCTGTTTTACTTGAATTTGTAGTTCTCTGGCAGGAAGTAGCCCATTTTGCCATCCTGTTGAGACTGGAAGATCTGTTTCAGCAGATTCTGCTTGCTGAGGCCGTATCCATTCAAAACACAGCCCCCAAAAAGGAGCTTCCCCCCAGCAAACATCTGTTGACAGGAAGGAAACAAGGAGAGGCCCTCAGCACATCAGCACAGCAGTGTCCACTGATAAGATAGGCGAGTTTGGAATTTCACTAGGGCGGTGCCACAGGCCTCTCAGAGCTTGCGCTGGGAGGCAGACCTTGGGTGGCTGGGGAAGGAGTGCTGCCCTCCCCGTGTTGCTCAGGGAGGTATGGCTGAGCCGAGCCCCTGCCCAGGCCCACAAGTCAAAGGGAAACCCCACCATCCCAGCCTGGGCAGGGACTCGGCTCAGCCATACCTCCCTGAGAAACACGGGGAGGGCAGCACTCCTTCCCCTTTGCCTGCTTGGTCACCCAACTCAAATGCATTTCACATATAGCACCACAGAGCCCTGGGGCCAGAAAGGTGTTCCCTTACTGTATACGCACCTTTCAGCTCATCCCACAGAATGGGAGCCACTTGAGGGCAGGGCTCCTACACCCATAGGTGGGTCCCCAACAAGTAGACACCTATTCAAAGATTTCTGTGCAAAAATATTCATCACAGCATTATTTGTTATGGCAGAAAAATACAAATAACTTAAATGTCAACAAAACCAGCACAAATAGATAAAATGACGGACTCTTACGTGGTGGTTAAAAATCAGGTGTTACAAACTATATAAGGACATGGGGAAATGCTCATGGTATTTTAATTTAAAAAGAAGAATTGCAAAGAATATATGCAGAAAAAGACTTCAAAGGTCAGACACCAAAATGTTAGCATGCGGTGGCCCTTGCCGATGCCAGGCACGTATCTGTGGGATGAGCAAAGGAGACTCTGGGTGATCCGATGACATTATTTTCTAAATTGTATTTTCCAAGTTTTCTAAAATGAACATGTGTAAATATTTATAGTACACTGTTTTCAGGATAAAGCCCTTTAAAAACAAACAGATGAAGGGAATTTGATTTTCTAGGTTGAATGTCACTGGTCCCTTCAGTCTTCTGGGATGGGGGACACATGGGGTCGGCTTGGGCTCCAGCCCCAGCCCTGTATGCTGGGGGACTCTTGGTCAGTCTTCCTGCTCTCTGGGCCTCAGCCTGGGTGGGGAGAAAAGCCCGCAGCCCTTCCCTTCCTCTCCTCCCTCCTGCTCCTCCTCTGACATGTGTGATTCTGCAGTGGCAGAGGTGGCCGCTGCTGGGGTGGCAGGCAGTGGATGGCAAGTCTGCTGGCTCACCAGAATCATCCCCGGCACCACAGAGTACTTCTTCATCATCAGGGGAGGGTCCTCCTGCAAGGGGCTGTCCAGGTCATACTGCAGCAGGCGGTAGGGGTCATGCCGGCACTACCAGGAGAGAGATATAAGAACTGGTCACCCCATTCCAAGAAGATGCACCTGCATTGCCACATTCCCAGCCAGGCGAGGTTCCCCCTGAGTCCTGGAGCCCTGTACAACTCCCTCTCCCCAACTCCTCCTACCCCAGGGGCCCTTGACCCTGCATGCACACCTCCCATGATTGTCCCTGGAGGATGTCCCTGGATCTGCTTAGAGCCCACTATGGGAGAAGGCCATTTCCGAGATGGCTGCTCCACATGTGACACCTACTAGCCTGGCCCTCTGTGGTCTGCAGAATGTGACTGCTCCCTTCCCCTGGGGATGGTGCTGCAGAGGTTTGAAGATGCGAACCATGTTCTTGGGTGGACCTGTTTCCAGGCTTTTGAGTCTACTTTACAGCAGCATAAAGAATTCCTCCACTCCCTACCCACTGCTGGCAAGCCCCTCAGGACCCTCCCAGTCACTAAATCCAGGGAGAGGACCTGAACTGAACCCATACCTCAAGTAGGGTTTGGGCAATTCAGGGGAAAGCTGGCCTCTCTCCCCTCCTTCTTTCTGTATGCCTCAGATCTATTAATACAGCCAATACAATCTTCCTGTTTTATCTGCCTTTATTTCCAGGTGCCTCCAACTATCCTTTCAATCTGCAACATGAAACACAGAGCCACACCCAGTGTTCTAGCTGTCAGGTAAACAGAAAGTCAGGGAACATCTGCGCATTCACCAAAGACATCCTAATTAGACACTAGCTTCCAAGTCTGTCCTCCAGGCCTGCTGCCCACTCCTTTATGAGCTTCAACTGCCTCAGGCCATGCCCATGGCTGGGCTTGGCCACCTGAGCACTCCGATTGCTTAGGGACAACTATTAATGAACAATGACTAGTGCCATGATAAGCTAAAGTCAACTCTAAGTTCCCCCATGGGCAGGGATTTTATCTGTCTCTACATGGACAGACACACAGAAGGAACTCAATACTTGCTCACTGGATTGAATTAAATTGGAAGTTGGCTCTGGAAAACAAACATGGCTTTGTTGAACGGGATGAGTGAAAAGGCTGTGGCTGAGTCTATACTCTTAGACTGAGATGGTCAAAAGGCTACTGGTATCTGCTCAGAAGGTTTGGAGCATAGACCCAAAGGTAGGCAATGCCAGGGTCAGGGAGGGGCCATTCCTGGAAGGAGGGTATCCATGCAGACACTCCCACCCCTGGTGTACCTGAAAACCCAGAACTCTGCAGCGGCAAATGGGAAACGGGCAGAGATGGTGGATTCTAGGAGGCAGGAGGGCACAGAAGGCTTGAAGGAAGTCACCATGTGGACACCCAGTTCATGTGCTCACGTGCCATCCTTTGCTCCAGTTGGTCTGGGGTGGGGGCCAGGCTTCAAATTGTGCCAGTGCTGCTGGGAATGACTGCATACTTGGAGGATTACATAAGCCTGATATGTGGGAACAACTCCATTGCACAGGCGAGTAGGTGGGAGTACGTTCCATGGGCCTGAAGACCCCCTTTAGCCCTCAACCATAAAACCAACCGGGACCTTGAGCAGTGCTTCTCTCCTGTCCCCCTTTACACAGGCTGCTGCCTTTTCCAGGAACATTCATCGCCTGCCAAAACCCCACTCAACTTGGAAGGCCCTCTGGACCCCCAGAGGGAGGCAGCAGGCACATGTTCCCAGGCTCTTGCGTGCCCGGAGCTGTCCTCTCACAGCCTCGCTGGCGGTGCTGGAGATGCTGCCACACTGGGAGCTCCTTCAGGTCCCCGCTTGCATCTGAGTCCTGCGGGGTGCCCAGGGCCTGGCCCATGCCCAGCATACAGTGGGTACTCATGACAGTCTACAAATATTTTCAAAGCTCTGAGGATTCAGTGGTGAGCACAGCCGGTGCTCTCAATATTCATACCAAAAAAGAGTCACATACTGGAAGGAAAGGACAATGTCCTGATTTTGTCTCAAGGGTCAGAGGAGAGCCTAGCCCTGATGCCATGGCATTCATCCTGGGTTAGAGGATGAGTGGGAAGGAGAGAAGCAGGAGGAGGGGCGATGTTGCAGATGGGAGAGTACATGCAAAGGCCCTAAGGAGAAAGGAGCTGAAGGCGGATGGCCCCTCAGACAGGTGCTCAGCCAGCCCTAGCAAGCGGGGGTCTTCTCGGACTGCCCTGGTACCCCTATCCCTGGCCTCCAGGGCCTCCTCGCTGAGCTCAGACCAACCTGGATGCAGGGGGAGGCACGGCCCCGCTGCTCGTGACTGTAGAGTGTGTCCAGCAGCCACTGGAGCTGCGCAGTGCTGGTGTAGTTCTGGCTCGTGATGATCCCAAACACCAGCACTTGGCTGGGGTCTCGAGGCACCAACAGGAAGCGCTCCAGCTCCACGTCAGAGACCCGGGGCGCCTTCACCAGGCACTTGCAAAAGCCACAGGCATCTTCCTTGTGCATGAGCTTCCGCAGCACCAGCGGGCAGTCCAAGGGCGAGGCCACCCACCTGGTGGGGCTACGTCCCTCGCGGGCCTTCCTTCTGCAAGGAGGAGCACAGTGCGCAGGAGCCCTCAGCACGTGGTGGTGGTCCCTGACTCCCAGAGCCTCCTGGCTTCTGATGAGCAAAGGCCCTGCTGCAGGCAGATTCTGGTCTGGGTCCTGCTGCCAACGTGCTGCATCACCTTGGTCAGATCCCCTAACCTCTTTGGGCCTCTTTCTAAAGTGCAAGATGAGACTAATGACTTATTCCTTCACCCACCCATTTGGTCAACTAATGCTTTGGTGTCATCCTTAACTCCTTTCTCTCACACACAACACATCCCCTCTAATCTGTCAGCAAGCCTGTCCTCTCTACACTCAAGACAGACCAATAATCTGACTGCTTTTCCTGCCCTCCACCCCGACAGATGTGGTCCAGGTCGCCTTCATTCTTGGCTGGCTGCCTGCAAATACCTCCTAATGGATCCTGTGCTTTCGTCCTTGGCCTGTCTTCAGTCTGTTCTCCAAACAGCTGATCGAGGGATCCTGTTAAAACCTAGCTCACGTCATGTCACCACTTTCCTCGAAACCCTCCAGTGGCTTTCTACCTTTTACAGAATAAAAGCTATAGTCCCTGCCATGTGCTTCAAGGCTGCAAGAATCTGGCCCCTGCATCACGCCCCCTTACCTCTCTTACTTTCCAGCATTCTCACCTTCGCTCACTGGGCTTTGGCCACACTGGCCTGCCTCTGTCCTTTAGTCTTGGAGGATACCTGGCCTTTGCTCTACCCCCATAGAGCCATCTCACTCTCTCACTCCTTTAAGGCTCTGTCCAAATGTTACCTTCTTAACGAGATTTTCTGATTGCCCTGTTGCATCCCTCTACTGCCAAGACTCTTTCCCTTCCCTGTTTTATACTCCTCCTTAGCATTGCTTGCTATCTAACATATCTTGTACTTTTAAATTTTATTATTGTACTTCTCTGTCCTATTAGAATGCAAGTTCGAGTGTTTTATTCATCGGAATAAAACCGTAGCATTTGAAAAATAGTAAAGATTCAACAGATTTAATAAATATTCAAACCAATGTTTGTTGGACCCCGCCTATGTTCCAAACACTGTACTGGGTTGTTGTGAGGGTTGTGGCAGTTACATGGGAATAATCGCCATCCACACAGAAAGTGCTGCTACAGTTCTACCTGTATCAATATCTATTATAAGACTGCGGATGCTGTAAAATGCTAAACTTGATGAAAGGCAGTAGCATATTTAACATTTATCCAACATCACAGTCTTGGAATAGACATTGTCTTGGTTAATTTTATAACAACTCTATGCAATCAGCAGGACAGAAACTCTTACTGCCATTTACAGATCACAGAACGGATGATTCCCACCAGGTGAATGGGTGCCCAAGTTCATACGGTAGTTAAGTGGCAAGGGCTAGGATTAGAAACCAGGGCATCATGAAACAAGTACAATGCAAGGTGAGCATTATTTCTCAGAGGCTATTAATGCTAATAAATACTTGCTGAACAAACTTGTTAAGAATATCTCTTATTCAAGAACCTGCATATCTGGGGCAGAGGAGGGCGTGGGGGACACTAGATCTATTAATTATAACTTATCCAGGGATAAGTTCAAAATAATCTAAGGTTTAAATGTGAGGCAATTAAGCCATAACATTTCTACTAGAAAACATGGGGAAATTATTCTATAATTTTGGATCAGGGAAGGCTTTTTATAATTATGACTAAAAAGCCCTCCAGAAGTCATAATAGAAAAAGTCTGATAAAGTCAACTACGTGAAAGAAAAAAGCCTCCAAAATCTCTGTTTAAAAAAAACAAACACATACACACACACACACACACACACACACACACACACACACACACACAAACCAAAACTATCATAACCAAAGATGGAAGACAAATAACAAACTGAGAAACACATCTGATACTCTTATCACAGAACAGTGGCCAATGTCTCCACTATGTAAAATACTACAAGTCAATTAGAAAAAGTCAATAACCCAATAAAATGTGGACAAAAGTAGTGAACAAATAATTCACAGAAAAGAATACAGGTTGTAAAAATTGTAAAGGAGGGAGGGCTGGGCACATTAGCTCACACCTGTAATCTCAGCACCTTGGGAGACTGAGGCAGGAGGATCACTTGAGGCCAGAAGTTCCAGATAAGCCTGGGAAACATAGCAAGACATCATCTCTACTAAAAACTAAAAAATTAGCCAGCCATGGTGGCACATGCCTGAAGTTCCAGCTTCTTGGGAGGCTGAGGTGGGAGGAATGCTGGAGCCCAGGAGTTCGAGGTTACAGTGAGCCATGAATACACCACTGCACTCCAGCCTGGCAGACAGAACAAGACCCTTTCGCTAAAATAAATAAAAATAAAATTTAAAAATAAACTCATAAAAAGAGGGATTAAAGTCACTAAAAATGGTGATTACTCTAATTTTGGAACTCAAAAACCACATCCGTTCACTAGGTCAACAATGAAGCTGGCAAACACTGTCAGAAACAACTCTGTCCAGATTTCTGGAATTTAAAGAAAAAACTTGCAACAACTAGGGGAACGCTTAATTAAGAAAGATGCTGCTTAATTTGGTAAGAGAGAACTGTAGCATTTTTAGCATACTCCCCTGCCATCCCTCATGGCCCTGCTAAGTAGCATCCATGGAATGACAGCCCCTATTCCTGGTGCAGCTTGCTAGTACCAGAGGGGACAATATGAACCTTGTTCTCTAGGAATTGTAGCTCTGTGGGCTGACATGTCTGGAGGTTCCCTGAGGGATCAGCTCAGGGCTTGACTTTATTTTATCTGCCTTGCAACTTTCTCAGGGATGTAGGAGTCCCTCCTGGGAAGCATCTGTCAGGTTCATTTCAAGACAAAGATACCAGACACAGCCTCCTGGTGCAAGGGGCAACAGACAGGTAGGCTAAACAGCCTGGGAAGAAAGAGACTGGGGAAGGAGGCATATAGGAGAATAAGGCTTTGAAAGGCTCACATGCATACCAAGGAATATAGATACCAGGTTTGGAACCATGTTTTGAAAAGGCCTGAGAACACCCTAAGCTTTCACCTCTGGCTGATCACTGGACTTTTTGAAAGTAGAAGGTGAAGGTTAATGCAGATTAGCCTTGATGTGAACAGCCTGGCTAACAGCATTGAATGAATGCCTCAACACAGAGTCAATCTGCAAGACTGGAAGAGTTCTGTTTTTGTTTTTGGCTCCAGATAATCTCTGTCAAATCACTAGCTGATCTCTGTTAAATCACTTATTTAACTGAATGGAGACTATACATGACAAATAGTACAGTCTTTATAAAAATCGTTTGGAAAAATAACTAAAGAACAAACAGCTACAAACTACAACAAGCAGCAACAACAAATCCAAAGGAAAAGGGGAAATTTGATTTCCACGGTTACCATATTCTAATATTTAAAATGTTCAGTTTTCAACAACAAGAAAATCCTGAAGTATACAAAGAAACAAAAATGTATGGAAAATACACAGGAAAAAAATTTACCAGAAACTGTCCTCAGAGAAACCCAGATACTGGAATTACTAGACAAAGACTTTAAATGAACTGCTTAACTATATTTAAAGAGCCAAAGGAAACCATGGAAAAACAACTAAAGGAAACCAGGATAACAGTATCTCACCAAATAGAAAATATCAATAAAGACAGAAATTATGAAAAGTAATCAATCAGAAATTCTAGAGTTAAAAAGTAAAATAACTAAAATAAAAAAATTCAGTGGTATATCTAAGCAGGCAGAAGAAAGTGTCAGCAAACTTGAAGATAGGATAATTAATATTATTCAGTTTGAGGAGCAGAATGAAAAAAGAATGAAGAACAGTTAACAGAGCCTAAGATACCTGTGGGACAGCATCACACATATCCAAGACACATAATGGGAGTCCCAGAAGGACAGGAGAGAAAGGAGCAGAAAGAATATCTGAAGAAATGATTGCCTAAAACTCTCCAAATTTGATGAAAGATTTAAATCTACATATCTAAAACCCCCAACAAATTCAAAGTGGGATAAATTCAAAGAGGTCCACATTGACACACATTATCATAAAATTATCAAAAGACAAAGAAAAACTCTTGAAAACAATGAGAGAAGCAACACATCAAGTTCAAGGGATCCTCAATAAGATTAATAGCCTATTACTCATCAGAAATTATGGAGGCTGAAAGGGAGAGGGTGGACATATTTAAAGTGCTGAAACAGAAACAAACAAACAAACAAAAAAACCCTTGTCGACCTAATTTTTTTTTTTTTTTTTTTTTTTTTTTTTAAGATAGGGTCTCATTCTGTCACCTGGGCTGGAATGCAGTAGCATGATCACAGCTCACTGCAGCCTTGACTTCCAGGGCCCAGTGATTCTCCCATCTCAGCTTCCCGAGTAGCTAGGACAACAGGTGCATGACACTTCATCTGGCTGTTGGGTATTTTTTGCAAAGACAGGTTTTCACCATGTTGCCCAGGCTGGTCTCAAGCTTCTGGACTCAAGCAATCTGCCTGTGTAGGCCTCCCAAACTGCTCAGATTACAGGCATGAGCCACTGCACCCAGCCTCAACCTAGAATTCTATACTGAGCAAAGCTATCCTTCAAGACTGAAGGAGAAAATAAGACATTTCCAGATAAACACAAGCTAAGAGAGTTTGTTGCTGGTAGGCCTGTACCACAAAACATGCCATTGAGTCCAGGTTAAAATGGAAAGATACTAGACAGTAACTTGAAGCTATATGAAGAAATAAATAACAATGATAAAGGTAACTACATAGGTAAACATAAAAGCAGTATGGTCATATTTTTCAGTTTGTAACTTTTCTGTTTTTTTTTTCTGTATGATTTAAAAGACAAATACATAAAACAATCATTGTAAAGTCAATGGGCACAGAATTAATAAAGATGTTATTTATAACATGTCAACATAAAATGGAGGGATGGGAATGAAGCTGTACAGGAGCAGAGAACTTTGTACGCTACTAAAGCTAAGTTGGTATTAATTCAAACTAGATTGTTTT